TTAGGCAACCATATTTTAAACATTCAGTCATAGAAAAAGATGTTTAGAATTGAAATTGTTCAAATCATCTCATTTTTCTCTGTAGGTCGTTTGTATGCTATGCAGACTGGAATGAAGATTGACAGTAAAACTCCTGAATGTCGTAAATTTTTATCAAAGCTAATGGATCAGTTAGAAGCTGTAAGTTAAACGCTGAAAGTTTATTTTCTGATTATGTTTAAAATACCATTTTATTCGTTCGTGTGTGTGTGTGTGTGTGTGTGTGTGTGTGTGTGTGTGTTGTCATTTTAGTTCTTTTCTTGGGCAACAATCAGTAATGCCATTATACTTGGGGAAAAACTAGACACTCTTTTTTTATTTACTCCATACTGCCGGAGGAGTTGTTAAGTATAAATTAAAGTAGGTTCAAATGTCTTTGCATATACCATTATATCTTGTTCCACATTATTATAGATGGCTTTTGAGTCATCCTTACATAAGTGACTCTTTCTAACCTTCCACCATGCAGTCACATAGGTGATTGATTTAGAAATTCTTAAATACCTCTAATAATAATGAACTGGACCATTTATTTAGTGAAAGGAACAATGGAGGAAATAATACCAATTGTTTATCCTCTCTCTTCCCTTTCTGGGTCCCAGGGCAAGATATTCTGTGGTACAGGGATCCTTCCCTCCTAGCAGGAACATAGTAGGTAAAGAGTCACCCTTTTAAACCTGATGTAACTTCACAGGTCACCGTAGAGGTGCCTATTAAGGGAAAATTGAATGGGTTGGATTGGGTGTCAGTGCAAAAAGAAGACAGTGCTAGCCATGGCAGTCGCACTTAGTAAATAGGCCTCTGTTCTGTGACACCTGTGCCCAGCCAGTGCTGATTTCTCGTTTAACAAAGTCAGGGTCTTATTAATTCTTCCAAGACTGTTACTTTAATAGCTATGGCTTACTTTTTACTTGCTTATTTAGTTATGTGACTTGCTCAGGAGACTTAGAAACCTATTTATTGGAGCAATTGTATTATTTAATTTAGAGAAACAAAATTGAGACATGCTAAAAACCAAAATCAAAACAGTTAATACCAGTCAGCCCAGAGCTTTTATTGCTTTCATTTACTGTTAGTAAGTTACTATTCAGATCAAGACCTACCCCACGACAGAACTTCCCCGCCTAGTTGTTTTAAGCAGCCATGGGCAGTAGTGTTCTCTCTCACTGGTGTGGCTCAGTAGCATACTTACCCAGAGCCCGTGTCATCTGCTACTGTTAACCACCCAAGGTGGGCCTGGTGGCACCACTGAGGGTGGTCAGCTGTCACTGGAACCTATCTGGCCTTCCACTTCTATTGCTGCTTCTATGGATGCAAGATAAATTTGAGTACTCTCTTTTGGAGGGATGGAGTTGGGGCGGGAGGGAAGATGTTTCTCACACAGGGCAATATATTTGCAAAATTCCAACTCTATCAGACATTTTATAGACAATATGTCTCCTTATTAATTTCATAGTACAGCAGTAATAGTTAAGATAATAGTTCATGAATAAGATGAAATTCAAATAGTTTCTTATAATAAAGTGTAAAGCCACATTTATAAAGGGATTCATCAGGAGTTCAAAATTAAATAACAGAATAAATCTATTCGATGGTGACAGCACATCTGTCTGTCCTTATAATGTTTGTATTACAGTTTTAAAACTTCAAGTATATTTTATTTTTGCTGCCAGGTATGTTCTGTTGTAGATAAGATAAAGTGGCCTACTCCCACTAAAATTTTTCTAGAATTTAATCCGCCTTTACAAATCATCTTGCAGTTTAGATACAGTAAAC